ATAACAAAAGAAATTATTTCACTACAGTTCTCAATGTCGTTAATATATAACAGAAAAAGTAGAGGCCTAAGAATCGAGCCTTGCGGAACTCTTGAAGATATTATCATCTTACTTGACTTATGATCACGAAACTTAAGAATTTGCGTTCTTTCATGTAAGTAGTTTTCAAACCATTTTAAACAATTTCCTCTTATACCATAATGTTCTAGTTTTTTTAGAAGAATTTTATGGTTAACTGTGTCAAAAGCCTTAGATAGATCAAGGAAAATACCGATTGCGTATTTTCCTTCATCTATGGCCTTTGAGATTTTGTCAGTCAATTCAATAACAGCATGTTCAGTGGAGCGATTTTTCCTGAAACCATACTGGTGTTTAGATAAAATGTTTTGTTTTTCAATATATGAAATCAGTCTTTTGTACATTACTTTTTCAAGCAATTTCGAAAAACATGTGAGAACTGAAATTGGCCTATAATTTTCAAATAGACATTTTTCATTTGCTTTAAAAATGGGAGTAACAAGAGCTATTTTTTGTGTATTCGGTATTAATCCAGTTTCAAAAGTTAAATTGAAAATATGTGCAAGAGGTTTGCAAATCTCTTGTTTTATTGCTTTTACCATTTTGGCACTGATATTATCATGACCTGCACTTTTAGTTACATTTAAGTTATCAATCTCAGTCAAGATTTCATATTCTGTAACAGGTTCAGTAAACATATTTTCTCGATATTTTCCCATATTTTATCCAAATTGTTTATATGCATATTATTATTATATGTTGTTATTGCTTCTTATAATAAATAAAATAATAAATATATATAAACTTCACTTGTTAGCTACAGTAGTCTAGTTAATTGATAATATGACTTATTAATACTTGATAACTTGATTCTCGTGAAGATATCAGACCAACTTTCAACGCAAAGATCCCAAATTTTTATCATGAAATATTCAACAAGCGTGATATTACTACAATATATTACTTATCCGCTATATATGTTTGAATTACCAAAGTAATAGTTTGAATATTTCGGTTGCGTGCTTAAGATAACGTTGTCATAACAAAGAAATCATTTAGTCATTGTCATTGGTGTCCGGTATCATCATACCATACTGGTGCCGTGCCGAGAAAATTGTATAATTGTTATATGCTTTCCGCTGTTTTATATGCTTTGCGCTATTTTGCATACAAAGATTCTCATTATAATTGTTGTGGTGTTGGCAAGAGGCCCATGTTCGCCTTGGGTTGAGTTTCTATATGTGTTTCTGCGTTATTAGTGCTATTTTGCATAAAATGATCTCATTGCTATAAACAGTGAATTATGAAAGATGGAATCTCATTCTTGTATGTTCTTACTAACAACAGCAACGACCCCTGGGAGCCTGACTATATCCTACTTAATATATCAATAAATATCAATACAAACATCACCATATACATAATGTCCATACCATTATGTCAAAGCGAAACACGCGTGGCGAGTAATGTGCATACAGTTATATCAAAACAGTCTGTGTAGAAAACACGCAATATGAAAAACACGCGAGGAATGAGTTGAAACTACGGCGCTGATCTGATCAGTCTGTTAAATACAGTAAGTTGCTTGGACAGCTACCAACAGAAGCCATCGGATGGCAAGCCAACCAACGCTAAAATCTATTAATAAAATTAAGAACAGTCTTTTGCATTTTAAAACTGAGTCGTACGAGTATATATACTTACAATTTTGGAATTTTCAACTGCAGTACCATGTTGCATAAAATAGTGTCCAATCAACTTACAGAACACATTGAATGTAACACGTGATAGGAGTATCATATTGTTAATTATTGTTTTAATTTGCGCACAGCTTCATTATAGTAATGTTCTTTTGATTGGCTGCATGACGGGCAACTATTTACGATATCATGATCATGGCCTAAAGAGTTATTTAGGGAGCATTAATTATTTATTGGGGGGGGGGGGGCACAGAAGAGAAATGTTTTTCTTGGTAAAGTTTTTGCTGGTGCAACCATTAAAAGTTTAAAAACATTTACTCAACCTCAAATAAAAAACAACTACCCACCCCTGGCCAAAAGTTTACAAAAGGATACCATTCAGTTATCACACATATATTTTACCACTTCTGTGACATGAGTTTGCTAACTGCTTGTGTAATTTCCTGCAGTCCAAAGTTCCCGGTTGTCCGCAAGTGTACTTGCTTTGGAGACACCATTTAAGTCCTAATAAATCGGAAAATGATCAAGATAGTGAATCTGATTGATTTACATATATTAACAATTCAGTGCTGTAAAAGTTACTCATTTTTTGGAACTAGTTACAGTTACAGTTACATTCCCAAAAAAGGAACTAGTTACTGGTAAAAGTTACACTTAAAAAATGTAACTAGTTACCGTTACAAAATTACTTCAATATTTTTGTAACTAGTTACAAGTTACTTCTGCAAGTAAGAAAAAACCCAGTTTTTATTTCAACTTAATTATTAGTGGTCAGCAGATTGACGTTAATTATTTGTAAATGTTATGTAACCTTACCGATTAATTATGAGCGGCTCCCTGTAAATATCGAATATCGAGTTTCGTACGGCGAAAATTGAATTGGCTCAAAATTTCACAGAATAACGATCAAGATGAAATATTAGTTCTGTCAAAGTTTCAGCTCAATCGAATGAGTATTCCCCCTCACTGACGAAAATTTCTTGGTCTTCCACGTTTTCCGTGTCTCGTCGGCCATTTTAGTTAGAGTACTATAGAGGGCCCAAATTTTTTAAACACTTCGTGTTGTATAATTTTGAAAACGTGAGCAGGAAATAGGATTCATGTCCCACCAGGGAATGACATTTTGGTGGAATTTCATTTAATCTTTAAAGTTTCACAGACATGCAAATTTAGGTTAATTTTCAATCAACAGAAAATTAAGGAAGTTTGAAGGTAAATATCATCAACTGGTACATGGCATTGTTTCCTAAGACTTTTACCTGGTGAAAGTGCAACCTTTGTTCTTACTCCTTATGCAATAAAATCCTTGGGAAAATTAAACTGCGCATCATTTTCGCGTAAGACACAAGGCACCCTGACAGTTATTGAATGCAACGTGCCGCCGACATCACGAACTATAATACAATGTTAAAAGGGCAAAAATTACAAGTTAGCAGCACAAACAATTATTAGATACACTCTAGCAAATGTGTTAGGAATTTAGAGACTATTACTTATAATAATTGAGCAAGTTTGTGCATATTTTTTTAGAACAAGTTTTCTATATAGCCAATTATACATGAGGGATCTATCATATATCTATGAACTGTAAATTGTGAAACGCGAGACTGTGACATTTTAATTGTCTGTTCTTTGATTTTTGCACGGTAGTTTTACTGCCGTTCTCTTCGCTTTAAGTTTACTTTTTGGAGGAAGATAAAATACTTCTGATAATCATCTTGTAGGTTGAATACGGTTGACGTTTTTGAGACGTAAACAAATAATAAGCCGAAGTAAAACTGAGTCAAAGTGGTAGTATTAATTTTAATTATTAACTGAAAGAAAAGTGTTTACTTTGGTCAATTTTAGCATAAAGGCCAATCGATGAGTACTATTGATGTATATTTGTAATTATTACAAATTATAATTAACAATTATTGGATGAGGTTTTTGTCATATGCGGAATTATCAAGGTCGAGGTAAGCGTTGATAATTTTGCATATCGCAAAAACCAAATTCAGTAATTGTTTTATTATACATTTGAAGAATAATAAACATAGTATTTTAATATTTTAATTTTTTTGCGATATGCAAAATTATCAAGGTCTCGGTAAGCGTTATATTCAATATGATTACTGGCAAAGCTGTTCAAGTAAAACGTTTCTGTAAACAAGTCTCCGGAAGTCCAACAGTTAAATTAATTACAAATATAGAAGAAACATATTATCGTTAAGATGTTAGCGTATTAAAATATTTACTTGTTAAAGTAAACATTACAATTATGAAATGTACATTCATTTGAAAATTGAAATGTACACTCATTTGAAATGTACACTCATTCAACCTCAAGCAACCTACACAAAATTCAGTTATCTGCTAGCAGATAACTGAGTTATCTGCTAGCAGATAACTGAGTTATCTGCTAGCAGATAACTGAATTTTGTGTAGGTTACGTGATTGCGCGATTTAACTGTAAGCTCTTAGCCAATCAAATTGCTTTTACCAACTACAATGTATAATAATAATTATTATTATTATTATTAATGCTAGTGTCGCTAGTATTAATTGAGTATACAATAAACCTGGTTGACATATACCTGCGGTATGTCGGCCGTCGGCGGGTTATTGTCGTTTAACAGTTCAACCAAATAATTCACAAAATTATGTATGCATCAACAGCTGGAAACAATGATAGCGCAGGCATACCGCAGGCATAGGTGAACCAGGCTTAAAGGCCTGCATTTAAACCGCATTTCCGTCATTTTAATTAAAAAACTAACTAGGAAAATAAATTAAGCATAATTCAAGAGTCAGCAAACTTAATGTTTTTAACATTTTAAAACATATTTATTGTTAAAAACATTGACTTTACTGATCTTGAATTATGCATAATTGATTTTCCTTTTAGCTTTTTCAAACAAAAAGGCTGAACAATGATGCGCCTTTAACAAACCTCAGTGTTAATTAACGCAGTGCATGTATGCATGCTGATTAATCGAACACTAACAATGCAGTTGATTTTCACCATAATTGAGAGCAGTTTTGATCATTTGCCTTCATTTTTGGTAAATAAGTCATTACAATTCTAGTCATTTTCAATTGCAGTCGCATGGTTCAACTAGTTCAGTTATCTTTGCGATGTAAGGGGCTTTGCGCCCGGAAGTAGTGCCTTCCATGTTTATGTCAAAATGATCGCAGACATTCCGAAGCATGGGTATGCTTCGTTTATTCAGCTTACTTTCTTTGCACATTTTGCACAGATTGTAGGTGTCGAACACGATAGGATGGCGGAGCTGGACTTCGCTAAGGACTAGCGTACGAATGTCCTCGTAGGCCTGTTCTTCTTCTGCTGGCAGCTATATCGTCATCATTAGACTCCAGGTCGGTCTCGCATGTCGACTGCCCCTGACGTCGTAGTTTTGCGGCCCTCCTCGAGAAGAAAGGCTGGATTTGTCTGCCGGTCAAAAATTCCTGAACAGTAAAAAGTCTTGCTCCTTTGTTGTTTCGAGCGAAGCGCATGTCATGTGCTACGACTGCTGGATCTTGCTTGTGGCCCGTTTCTTGACCAATCATTGGCCTTCAATAACTGTCAGTGTGCCTTGTGCCTTACGTGAAAATGTTGCGCAGTTTAATTTTCCCAAGGATTTTATTGCATGCATAAGGAGTAAGAACAAAGGTTGCACTTTCGCCAGGTAAGAGTCTTAAGAAACAATGCCATGTACCAGTGGATGATATTTACGTTCAAACTTCATTAATTTTCTGTTGATTGAAAATTAACCTAAATTTACATGTCTGTGAAATTTTAAGGACTACATGAAATTCCACCAAAATATAATTTCCTGAGGGGAAATTAATCCTATTTCCTGCTCACGTTTTCAAAATTTTACAACACGAAGTGTTCAAAAAATTTGGGCTCTATAGTACTCTAACAAAAATGGCCGACGCGACACGGAGAACGTGGAAGACCAAGAAATTTTCGTCAATCAGGCGGAATATTCATTCGATTGAGCTGAAACTTTGACAGAACTAATATTTCATCTTGATCGTTATTCTGTGAAATTTTGAGTCAATTCGATTTTCGCCGTATGAAACTCGATATTTGATATTTACAGGGAGCCGCTCTTATAGATCTCTCAGCTGTGTTAAGCACTGAAGCATGCGTTGTCGTAGAAAACCGTTAGGAGAATTTCGAGAACTGAGAGGTGAATTGTAACGTTTAACCGCAAGAATGTAACGAAAAAAGTAACGTAAACGTTGGCTATAAAATTAAGTAACGCGTTATCGTTTCATTTTAGGCCAAAATGTAACTCGTTACAGTTACTGTTACCTTATTTTTAAAGGTAACTAGTTACCATTACAGTTACTCAAAAAGTTACGATTACTTGTAATTTCGTTACTTGTAACGAAGTTACTTACAACACTGATTGACATGTTGTTGACATTGCTTTTTAGTCTTTAATATTTGAGTGAGTCCTGCTTTGGAAATGACAATAAATTTTTATTACCCAACCCTTGAGTTGTTTTGTTTTTCATTTACCCAACCTTTCACTCACTCAAAATGTTGTTGATCCAACCCGTTTAGAGTCGTTACCACTCCTGACAAAAAAATAATGACCGGCCCCTTAGCCGAAAAGCTTTTTTGCTCAAAAAATTATAACAATTTCCGCACGTACGGCAAAATCTATACACAACAGGCATAATTTTATCGCTGCTTAGGTATCTACCCATAAACATCGCAAAACATCTCGGTCGGTTTTCGCTATTTCAACATTAAGGAACGCCTTTTCTATGTCGGCTGCGAGCGCTACGCGTTTTTCTCTAAAGCGCAAAAGAATTTCAAACAACAATGGTGTTAACGGCGGTCCAACCTTCAAGCCATCATTTAATGAAACGCTATTTTTACCTTCCTTACACGAAGCGTCATACACTACCCTCACCTTCGTGGTCTTCGCTTGCTTCCTAACAACTGCGTGGTGAAGTAAATAATGAACCTTTTCTGCCTTTTCTAATTCTACAACTGGTTCAATTATTCCTGCTTCTAGCTGACTACTAATAACTTGGTTATATTCCTCCAGAATATCCGGATCTCGCTTCAGTTTTGAAATCTGGTTCTTAAGTCGTTTTAAACTATTGTTGTAATTCAAAGGTAAGGGTTCATGCCCTTCTTTCCACGGCAAGTGTACTTGATAACGATTACCGTTGAAGTTAATTGCTTCTTTCAAGGCTTCATGCACTTCGTCCTCTTCGCGTATACCTAGAGTGTCAAGATCCCACAACCTATGAACATTGTCAGACATATATGGACTAGAAACACGTTCTTCTTTAATAATATTAACACAATTTACCTGTGCTTTTGCGCCATCGTCACCTTTCCCTTTGACGTGCCCTGAAAGAACCCAACCTAAAGTCGTCTCAACCGCCACCGGCTCACGAACTCTTCCACGCACTATAGTACCGCTCTGAAAGCACCAAAGAAAATCCGAACCAACCAGGATATCTATATCAAATACTTCACTGCTCTTACACACGTCCGAGAACCAAAGTCCCCGTAAGTGAGAATATTCCCCCGTTCGCAACTCAATATGCTCATTTCGAACTTGGGCAATAGTTTCAACAGCATACGCTTCTATAGTAACCGCTTCTCCCCCCTTGCAAGGTGCAATCTCAAGGTCAAAAACATCTCGCAGCTTATAATCATTCATCGCCATACCAAACGTGCTAATTTCTAACCATTCTTTCCTTTTTACTGGCAACCCCGCGGCCCTTACAACCTTGGAAGTCACGAAAGACTTATGACTCCCCATATCAAACATCACGCGAATTCGTGCTCCATTTTGAGCACCTTTCAGTATACCTTGAGCAGTTTGCAACATCACTCGACTCTTGGATCGAACATGCATTGTTGGACTTCCATTACTGGCCGAAACATTTCCCTCCCCTTTGGATTCACAAAGAGATACATGGTGGCCCCCCTTACTACATATTTTACAATTAGTTTTTGGACAGCAGTCTTTGAATACATGTCGACTTTTACTTAAACATGTAAAGCATCGTCCATACCTACGTGCTACGAATTTTCTATCTTTTACACTACTTACTTTATCACAGCTCTCATGAGCGTGTCGTCCCATGCAATAAGCGCATCTTTCTCTTCTGACTTGGCTATCAAGGCTGACGCACTTCGAAGATCACCCTTGGCATTGCCGTTCTCAGGTCGTGGTGGTTTAAGTGTCCAGTGCTCTTCCCGAAATTGTAGTTCACTCAACAGTTCACTCAACAAATCGTCCATATTCCATTCGTCGTGTGTCTTTCCTCGCGTAATACTTAGTCGTACAGTTAATGGTAGTTTGTCGATTATAGCTGGCAACACAATTTAAGAGTAACTTTCCTGTTCTACGTTAAGAGCTTTCAGTCCACCGTGATGCGTTTCTGTCGCGTCGTACAATGCTCGAAAACTCGAAGGGTCTCGGTCGCTGTAGACTGGTTGAAGCTTCAGTAATTCCCTTATATGCGTCTTTTGTATGACGTTGCTTCGCCCGTATCTTTGCTGCAGTTGTTCCTTTGCACTCTTGTCATTTGCTGACGTTCTAGCATACCCAGAAATACAATCCCTCGCCTGATCCTTTAATAGTCCACGAAAAAACGAGAACTTGTCCACCTCTGATAAATCAGGGTTTTCATCCACCGAGCTTTTAAACGAATCCCAAAATTCTTGCCATCGCTCTATTTTCCCGTCAAACTTTCGTAATTCAAGTTTCTGTAACCTCACGCGAACGGATTTCTTGCTGGATACAGTACTTTCATTTAAACTCGCCACCTCATCGTTCGCTTCGCTTTCGCTATTCTTTTGCGGCAGGGCTTCTTCCAAAATGGTATGGCGGCTTTCATATACGCCCTCAATACTCCTGCCTCCTCGATTTCGTTCGCAATAACTGCTTCCTCGGTCTCATCTGTGTCTTCTAGAACCTTTAAGATGTCATTATCCAGCGTTTGGATTACTCCACGTTGCTCTTCCAAGGAGGACTTTCGATTAAATAACACCTCTCTTTCCAATTCAGGATTGGAAAGCAGTCCTTTTAACTCTCCCAGGGTTTTCTTAATGAACGAACGGTGTCCACTGCGCGTTCGTTTTTTCCTTTTCAATCACCCTTTTTGGCGTTTTGTGGAAAATCGCTACTGCGCGCTGAAAATCAGTCCGATTTTCATCAAATTTTCACCAAATGTTACCAAGTGCATGCAAAATATGATAAAGTTGTAAAATTGATAAACAATAAAATAATGTAAGAATTATTCAGGAAAATCTTAAGTCGCGGTACCTTTACGCTTTTGAGTTATGTTCCTGCTGGTTTAATTTTAAGATATATTTATGAAAATATCTTTTTTATACAGTAAAATAGTTGTTCTAAAAAATATGCTCCTTATTATTAAATATCCAAAATTAGAACAAATCCGAACACAATTTTGAAACTGCCGTCTTTTAGCTATGTCCTCTGAAAATTTGAGAAAAATTCGTTAAAACCGGCAGGAGCACAACTCGTTTAAAAATCAGTAATTGCCGTAAAATTCTTCGGGAGAAAATTGAATTTGAATATTACATTTTCAATGTTTTTCTTATTGCAAGCGAAATGTATTTTATTAAATAACTCTGCGAGTTTTCAACATTTTTCGTCCAAACTTGGTCAGATAGTAGAACTAGTCTAATGCTTTCATCGAAACCAATAAAAAAATTTTAGGCAAAATTAACACTCAAAGGTGTTCTGTAACCTTAATCAACTAAATATATCTTTTAACACTAACATAACTAAATTAACTAATACAATTATAAGTAATATATGACACGTAAAACAAAGTACGTAACATATATAAAACATTCAAATTTCGCAAGGCTATATTTCCCGTATTTACAGGTAACAACATTTCGTAACCAAATTTTGCAATTTTACTAATTTTAATGAAGTTCTTTTGGGAATTTACTTTTTTTGCCAAGATAAAATATTAGTCTAACATGCAAGTTGTCTATTCAAACAATGTCAATGAGAATAATTTTATGTCAAATGGCACTGAAAACGCCATTATATTACATTTAAATTATATATATGTTGTTTCAATTGTTTGGCAGTTTGTGCCGATTAAATTAACTATTTAACTTAGGGACGGACCATTTGATTTTTGATGGGGGGGTGGGTAGAATCCCCAAAAAAATATCGAGCAAGCAATTCGAACTTTAAAAAAATATCGTGCAAGAATAACCGGACGAAAAAAAATATCGAGCAAGATTTTCGAGTGGTAATCCTTATTTGCCATTCGGTGCATTTCCGCGTGTAGCCCAGGGCCGTATGTAGCAACTGGAGGGGGGGGAGGGGCTGGGGGACTGCAGGGTCCAGGAAATGGCATTTCAGAGACTCTAAATTTAAAAATTTCCTCGGGCCTTCGGCCCTCGCTTTCAGCCCCCCCAATAAAAAAAGAGCTTCCTACGGCCCTGTAGCCTAAATAATGGGAGGAGCAGTATAATTCCAAAAATGTTTTTCTTTATTTCTTTACTCCGACTCCTATGATGAACATGTACATAAAAAACTAGGTTAAACTAGGTTACTACGATTAAATCACGGCCGTAGAAAGTAAAATAGGTGAAATTTTTATGGGACACAATCAAAGGCGAGGATATAAGAGCGAGAGATTGAAATTGAGTAGGAATAGCGTACAGGGGTATGCGTTTTGACCTAACAGTTCTCTTCAGCAGGGTTTTTTAAGAGGGGGGGGGGTAGATATAATTTGAAGAGGAGAAGGAAGGAGAGTTTATAGGAGTTCGGAAAACTTGTGACTGTAGGTGATTGCATCCAAATATGGTGTTGTGGTGTAGGAGCTTATAAGACAGGGATAGGGGCGTTTGGCAATTAGTGATACATAAGGGATAAAAATAATGATAATAACACCGTGCAGGGTTTGTTTGAAATATATGAATATACAATAATAACAGAGATTAGTAAATGAATGATACGATATGACCAATAGATAGCTATAGCTAGTTCTGGTGTGGATTTTGCTACGTAGAGGATCCAAGTTCACATTATTTTCCGAACTCCTAAACTCTCCTTTCTTCTCCTCTGCAAATTCTATATACCCCCCCCCCCACCTTTAAAAAACCCTGCTGAAGAAGACTGTTAGGTCGAAACGCGTGTAGGGTTGCCTTTCCTATACTCAATTTCGATCTCTCACTCTTATATCCTCACCTTTTATGGAGTCCCATAAAAATTTCACCTACTTTAGTTTCTATATATAATCGTAGTTTCCCTAGTTTTCTTACGTACATGTTCATCATAGGAGTCGGAGTAAAGAAATGAAAAACAACCATTTTTTTAATACTGGTCCTCTCATTATTTAGGCTACACGATGTCTTACACCAGTACTTGTCCAATTACCTATTATATACCAAAAAATGTAAAAACAAAAAACTAAAAAAATGTATATACATGCATAAAAAAAATATCGTGCAAGTCCTCTGACTGACAAAAAAAAATCGAACAGTGTCAGGAGGAGGAAAAAAAATATCGAGCAAACTGAAAATCTACCCACCCCCCCATCAAAAATCAAATGGTCCGTCCCTTAGCCCCCGTTTACACTATACCGGATTGCTATCGAGCGGGTCAAATTTGGTAGGTATTGAAAGGCGGTGAAGATTTTTATTCTCAGAGACCCAAATAAACATGCCAATTCTGTCAAACCAACAAGCATTTGCTGCTGACCATTGTTCCTTAACGGCAAAAGACGAATAATGTAAACGGACCCTTTGTCTTTTTATTACTTGCAACGAAATCAGTTCAATCATACAGTTCGCTTTTCAAAATAATTTAATAAAAAAATAATAAAAATAATTAAATAATAATAATAATAATTAAATAAAATAATTTAATAATTTAATAGTTTTTTTTAATTCTATAAGCTTTAATTTTTAGTATAAAATAGGGCAATTTAGGAGCCAAGTGGAAAACCCGAAAATAACGTACATGTTCAATACGAATTAAAAAACAAAACAAACTTGCTTTATATTTCATATCTTTTGCTCATAAAGTTTATATCGGCCTTTTACCACGTATGCGTGACTGGACAGTTGCTGTAGCACAGTAAAGTAAATTTTCTTGCTAAACTACAGTATATGTTTGAAAATATGACTGTACATAACGACCTCGACATGTTTACATAATTTACCATATGGTATTTATAACTAAAGCATTAATCTGAGTGCATTCTCCTGAGCTCACAAATCAATGATATCATTTCAAAAAATCGACTCCTCTATTCGAAAAACATCCATAAACTAGATACCTGCATTATCACAGTCGATTTTGCAATGCCAATATTTAAATACGTCAACATGAAATTACTGACTGACGGCTGAGTATGGCAAGCCATGTATGACAATATGTCGTAAATAACATATTTATGTTCCAATGTGAATATATCCGTTATAAATATATATATATATATATATATATATATATATATATATATATATATATATATATATATATATATATATATACTTCAAACTAGCTCCGTCGTATTCGGCAGGTGGAAAGCACTGCAGTTTGTGCACTGAAGAAAAACTGTGCCTTTTAAAGGCAAATAAAGCTATTAATCGAAGATCAGAAATATTTGCGAAGTGCCGCCACGCACAGCAATTCCACGCAGGAAAATTTGAGAGCGTGCGCGACAAACGAACGCACGCGTCAGCAAACCGATAGTGAGTAGCGTCAACAAATAGAATTGAACTTGTAATAACAGTTGCCTGAAGATTGCGAAATTGCATGAATCTCTGAGTAGCAATATGTACAATTTTTAAGATTAAATAAATATATATATATATATATATATATATATATATATATATATATATATATATATATATATATATACACTGTCAGTCAAATATATATGTTGCAATTAAAGAAATATATATCAAAATGAAATAATTACATCGAATGTAGGAAAAATATATGTTGAAAAAAATATATATGTTGAAAAAATATATATGTTAAGAATTGAGAAAAAAATATGTATGTTAGCATTGTGTTCTTCCATGTTTCAAATTTCCATTTCCATTTCCCC